TGTGTTTCTGTGTTTGTGTGTCTGTGTGTGTCTGTGTGTATCTGTGTATCTGTGTGTCTGTGTGTCTGTGTGCGTGTGTCTGTGTGTCTGTGTGTCTGTGTGTCTGTGTCTGTGTGTGTGTGGGTGTGGGCGTGTGTCTGTGTGTCTGTGTGTTTGTGTGTGTGTGTGCGCGCTCCTCGGAGGTGCTTCACATTTGACAGGCGTGTGCGCGGTCTGGCGTGGGTTGCTCTGTGCTTATCATGTTTGCACTGGGCGATTCAACAAAACAACTGTGTGTGTGTGTCTGTTTTGGAGTCCCTTGTTGGAGGTGAGGCAATTTATTGGAAAACCACTTCATGAGACACGCCCAGTCGCGCTGTGCATCTGGCTCGGTTAGCATTCGACAGGGCACCAAAACCTGGCTTTGGCCCACGGCCGTCCACACGCCGGACTCCGACGATCGTAGGACAACTCTGCATGCTTTTGTTGAAGCCCAGTATCTGGGTACGTGTCAATTTGTCAAAAATAGGGTGACCCCAGAAACGATGAATGGTATGAGGGTAGCAACTCAAAAAAAAACATGCCCATATGGCTGTTTCTCAACACTCCCAAAACAGTTGGTTTCCCCTTCGGTTTCCCTTTAGCTACCGAAAGGAGGTCCACCATTTTCAGAGGCCCATATATGTGTGTGCTTCTTCTTTTATTGGGACCCAGTCATGGACATCGTTTATCATTTAGGCGGGGGAAGTTCAACATTTGGGAGGGCATTCCTCACTCAAATGTTCATGGCCACATAGATCTCTGTTTTGAGGGGTCACCCTTTTTGTGGTCGGTGTTTCAAGGGGAACGAAAAGGGAAAGCCACCCATTTTGGGACTTGTCGAGAGCTCGCCTGGTGCTTCCTGCGAATCTGCACGAGCCAAGCCAAGAGGTTGAAGAGCTGTCCGTGGAGATCCCCAATGATGGCCTGAGGCCGCGAAAGGTGGGTTGCTTTGCTTAGGTTTCACATGGGTCTCGCAGGGGTGTACCCCTCCCTGGTGTTCTCTGCGTTGTTCACTTCCGGGGTTTCCCTGCTTGCCTAGAGTGGCTTGCTGGAAGCACTGAACAAAAGTAAATACCCTTGTCGGGGTTGTTTGAAAGGGGAACTAGAAGGAAACCACAAGTCTTTAGGGGTCCCCAATTTTTGCAACAACCCCATGGCATGTATGTGGGTTGGGGCCAATAAGAAAAGGTCAACCAAGTTGGGTGCTGAAAACGTCTGACAGAAAGGCATCCACGTGTTGAACATCCTCATACAAGCTTCTCCCAAACTTAGCTAATGCGCCAAACATGGCTGGACTCCTTTTGGTTTGCCAACAAACGGAGCGCCTCAAAAAGAGCAGCCCATATATTCCCTAAACATTGGGCCAAGAGGAAACTGGACAAACATTTGCTCAACACATGTTTGCTGTTCGTTGGTGGCGTTTTGTCTCTTAGTTGTCACTTCTTCACAGGTGGTCAGTTGAAGCGGCCCTTGCAATTCTCAAGGCGCCGGGAAAAGCAAAACAATCAGCTGAGAGTTGCAAGCAATGGCCGCACACCACGCCACTCAATGTAGGATCTGCTGTTGTAGAACTCCTCTCCTGGTAGTAATAACTAGTCACAACCTATGTTCTGACCACAATAATATTGGCTGACGCAGGCCATCTGCTGTGATTGCAACTGGGAGCACTGGGCTAAAATCTAAACAACAGAAACATAATAGTAACAGCGTTTGGTGCCAAGCGAGCGAGGAGCCCCAATGCTGTCGGATCTCGACCCCCAAAGACCCCATTCGGCCAAGAGCAGCTGAACACCCCCAGATTCAAGCAATCATTAACGGTCAATTGACCCGTTGAGGGGTTCATATAGGCATACATTCAGCCCTTGACACCTGGCTTGAGCCCCCGGAGAAGCTGTATGCGGGCTGGACCTCCGGGCTAGCGCAAGGACCACGAGGTCCGGTTGCCACCGGACCACAGGCCGCCCCACAAGACACAACAACTAGGTCCTCCAGTAGAGAGTCTATTTTAGTAGGGGAACCCTCCCCCAAAAAAGGATAAAAGGGCGCTGCTGGGGGACCTAGACAAAATTAATTGATTCACAAAGGGATCCTCTCAATCAGTTTCTTCATGATCTTTTCCACATGGCCGGAATGCCATGTTTTACTCGAGCAACTCTGAAGGAGCGCCCATGAACTTTCTCAAAGACACGTGAGGCCATCCCACAAGCGCCAAAGTCAGTAACGAGTTCCTGGGAGTTAAGAACTTCCGCTTGCGCTTATCTTTTGCCCAGAATACGTGCTGGCTGATCCACTCTGACATCGTAGAGAAAGCCCACGGCCCGCTATAGGGTTTGATCTCTTGAATTCACTTAATGAGTGGATTGCCAAAAAGAGCTCTCACACTGTTCGCCGCCGGGCGGTGCAAATGGCCCTGCGGAAGCACAGCCCTTCCCTTCAAGCCGCAAGTGATTTGGGCTCGACGTAGCGGGCGTAGCCATGCCTGGCAAATCGTTTGCAGAACATGGCTTTTGGAGGGTACTCTCAGGCGCAAACGGCGACGAAAAGGCTTGATTAAGAGGATCTAAGCATTCAGTTTAGATTTGGGCAAGCCCCCAAAAAGGGTGGAACCTTCTACAGTAATTTTCACGTGAAATCGGAAAAAGAGTGCCCTCAAAAACAAACACACTTGAACTCCCGAGGGAGGTTGTTGAACTTCGAGTACAACTTTCGAGTACAACTTTCGAGTACAACTGGCAAATCGCAATTCAGGGGGCAAAAAGGGGAACTTAGTTTGGGTGACCCGCCAGCTGCCATGTCAATGGCCCAGGCGCGGTCGAGCAGGTACGGTTGCACCCGGGCACCGGGGGCGTCTTCGTTGGCTTCGTTGGCCGGAGACCCCCGGGCCGGCTCCGGCCCCCTGCTGTAGGTGGTTCCAGGGTAAATCTGGAACTTGGCACACACACGCCCCCGCAAAACCGAACGCACAGGTAGGTCAGCACGAAAGCAATTCAGGAGCACAAATAGCCTGGGCGTCCTGGTGGAACGAACTCTAGATGCCAGGATGTCCTCAGGAGTCGGGCCCCCGCGCTCACGATCATGAAACCTCCGGTGTGGTGCATGTCCAAAGCTGCGAGAGGATGCCAATTGTGCCGGTAGAGGAAGGGCCGCACGAGACGCATCCAGTGGGAAAGGCGCGTGAGGGTCCAGGTTGGTGTCAAAGGAGTCCTGTCTTGAAAGAACACGTACGTTGATACCCTTGACAATGCCAATCTTGAAGTTTCCAAACGAAGGTCCACCGTACATAAATTGGACTTCCCTCATCTTCGCCAGGGGTTGAATCATAAACGCTCCAGCGCTTGCTCCAGGTCCGATATGTGTTGCCATCCAGGGGTGGTGGTTCCTGGGTTCCATCAAGGATGACAGGTTCATCAGGAACAAAGATCTTGACCCAATCCTCCCCCGCGAAGCGACTGAGCTCAACCCAAGGGCGCGGTGTCACGGGCCGTGGAGGCTCATCATCAGGATGATCAAAGTCCATGGTGTCGTCTGGTGAAACACTACGCACCTAAAACAGCTGAACATGAGCATCAAAGCACGGAGTTCAAGACAAGCACACGCAAAGCAACGAACTCGAGGCACAACCCAATTTTCAAGAGCCGGCAGAGAACTCACACATCCGGTAACGACTCACAAGTAGGCCGCGTAGGTGCGCTTGGGTGGTGGTCCGACCAAATGGCGCATAGCGCGAAGATGAAGCATTGTCAGTACCAGACAGCTCTGCGTTATAAGGTTCAGGGCGGCTGCTAGGGCGAGATGTCCCAGCGTCATTGTTGGAAGGCGCTGTTGAGCAAAGACGCTCGAGGCCAGCGATGACGTCATCCCAGGTCACTTCAGCGGAGGGATTAGCGTGGATCAGGTTCAAAATGACCGCCGCAGCTTCATGCGAAATGTTGTCCAGAGTGGTGGCAACGTCAGCCGAAGGAGAGGACCAAGCGGTGTGTCCTCGATGTTGATGTTCTGTTTGAGGAGGAGCAATCCGGCGGTACCCTTCAGTGGTCCAATCTCGTCGATGCCATACTGGTTGCCGTTCACTGTGGCCATTATGACTCGGTTCACGCTTCCATTCGCGATGCGCGTGAGGTGGGATGGGATCATTAACCGTCCCAATTGCCCAGGGCCCAGGCTCCCAAATCTTGATCCATTGATGTTCAGGTTGTAGAGGATCTGGACTGTGTTGTGACGAGGGAAACCAGGCAACGGATGCAAGAAGACACATGGAATGCATGAGCAACCGACAACCGCAACAAGCAGATGAAATGAGTCCGCAACCTGCACATCAGAACTGCACTGCGCCATACCTTCTCTCCCTTCACAACCATCATTCAGTCAACACTCACGCATTCCAATCAAACTCTGAGTCAGATAGTGTTCGACGAGGTGGTGAGGGGTCTCTCCAAACACCATCCGATGCCGACGAAGACGCGGAACATTGATCGCGAGCGCGAGGTGGTTGAGGCCGACGTGATGTGAAAGGCAGTAGTTGTTGCCACCCATATGTGTTCCAGTCGCGAAAATGCCAGCAGTAGTGCGTAGGCAAAGAGGTCGTGCGAAGCTGTTCATCGGGAGAAGTGCCTCCAGTGCCATCCAGAATGTAGTATGTTTCAAAGATGTAAAACTTCTTCCATTCTCGAAACGTGGATGGAAGGGCGTCAGGCGGTGTTGCCATTGTGGAACTCAGCAATCTCCAGGAGCCTGGTGTAAAGATTCTTATCCATTCTTGAACAGCATCACCCGGTCCGGCCACAATTTCATACTCAAAGTACCGCGGAACCGACCACATGTCAATCTGTAGAGGGTGCGACATGACAAAATCCACAAACTTGTACACTGCAAAACAGCGGAAAGAGGATCCGGCAAGGAATCAACGTCAACATGATGAGAAACGAAATCAAGTCATCAAATGCACACAGCACGGAGCGGTTTTCTCCACAGGCCAGTGTAAGGTTTGTGTGGTGCAAGGCATCGTCGATGACCAGGAGGAAGATATTGACACTGATGTCGGCATCGTGTCCGGTTTGTTCTCGGAGACCTAGATCGCCACGTTGAGAAAACGGTGAAAGGTCGACCGTGATGGGTTGGTTTGGATTTGCGAGATCTTCGGGATGTTGATCTGCTGCCGTGAAGTCTGAAGCCTCGCTGGTCGCTCCTGGGAGAGGCGCATGGTGAGAGAAGGAGTCGATGTCGAGGAAATGAGCAGTGTTCACGACCTTCTTCAGGCAAGACAGCTGGCGGATGGTGATGTTGAGGAGGGTGCCAAGTACGCGTGATGTCTGACTGTGATGCATCCGTGATGTTGTGTCGGCACATCATCATAGACAATGGAGGTGCTGGTGGTGGCGGCAGTGGCGGAGGAGGAGGTGGAGGAAACGGTAGTGTTGGTAATGGTGCGTCATCTGGCCCACGCCTCAACCAAGTCAGCCAAGACGGGAGGCGTCCACGCGACCATGTAATGTCAGTCTGGGTACTCTGATCCATTGTGCCTGCAGAACGAGTACACAAACACAGAAGTAAAAGGCATGAGCGACTAACTTACGCGCATCAGAATCTGTTTTCCACAGCCGAGTCGATGTTAGACGGTGATCTTCTGGTACGTCTTCCAGGCTTGCTTCACTTCAGCAGTGTCCTTCGTGAGAAACTTGGCGATGGACTTGTACGTTGGGCGCACCAGTTCATCGAGTTGAGTCTGTGTCCAAGCCTGGAACGGATGCGGATAGTCAGTGCGCATGCCCACATGAAATGAGTCAAGCAAGCACGAAGGACCGTGCTGCACACGAGGGGGAGGACGTACTGATGCCGCTTCTGGATCTGGAGAAATGGAGTCGGAAGACGAGGAAACCGAGGACGCCAGCGCTGCACTTGGCTCAGGTGCAGGGCGGCGAGGAAGTGGTCGATTAGAGGGCGGAATCATATACCACGTCGAGGATGTGTCCATGGGTTAGTCGAACAGGAGTACGTGATCGTACACGTTCTGGATGAGGGGACGTCGAGTCCGCCACCAAGCGTAGACGCGTGCCATGGCGAGAGTTGCGTGGGGGTGGCAAGCTGTCAATGATGTTTGTGCTGGATGCGTTGGTACTCCGCGAGGCCATGGCGATGACACCAGCGTCTGCAACGTCGCCAGGAGATCTGCTACAAACACATCAGACAGGCGCATGACGGATACAAAGAAAATCACTATCAAATCAAGCACGAAATGGCTAACGAGGGACATCGGTCAAGCAAGCAAAGCAACTACACTGCGCAAACCAGGAACCATTTTCCACAAGCCATGCGATCATCGTCCACGAGCTAACCCTGAAGATCGGCAGGCAGCATCGCCTTAATCTCGGGTGGGCCGCTTTTGGGCACAAAGTGAGTTGAATGCCTGCGTCTGGATCTTGATCTGTAGATCCGCCGGCCTCTGCGAGAGAGTCCCCTGCGATTCCTTTCACGTGATGCATCTGGTGACACACTCATTGCCTCGATGGGATTGTGCATATGCGGAGTCAGCGTGGTAGCCGTAAGTCATCGGGGGATTTGCCTTGGTGGCGTGTGACGACTGGGCCTTGGCTGTGGATATTGAAGCAGGAGGAGGTAGTGGTTCAGGAGGTGGAGGTGGTGGTGGTAGTTCTGAAGGTGCTGCATGGGGTGGTACGTGTAGAAGAGGAGGTGGCGGGTTCTGCGTCATAGGTGGAGGAGCAGGAGGAGGTGGGTTGGCGGGTTGTCGAAGAATCCGAGCAAGCATGGCTTGAACTGTCTGAGCCGAGGTCTCAAGCGACGTTGTCCGTCCAAGATTTTGCTGGTCTGAGATGTCAGAGACGAAAGTTGCGCTCGGCATTCCCAAAGTAGATCACCATGGTCCATGTCGATGTGAACGGGTCCAGGTATCTAAGGATTAGCCAAGCAGCTGCGGAGTAGCATCAGCATATGCAATATGGAAACGCAAGAACAACCAATCAGGCAAAACCATGAATGCGCACAACCAAAACCTGCACAGCGACATTCACAAGCACACCGGTTCGGAAGACTCAGCAACGTCACAACTGAAGTGTCATGAAAGAGAGCTGATTGTACAAAACACTGCCGCGCTACCGTTCAAGAGGTGGAAGAGCTGGATGAGGTTATTGAGAACATCGCTACCAAAAGCTGGCCACATACGCGGGGGCAGCCAACGTGCTCCGAAGCTTCCACCGCCCTTCACGTGGCTTCAGCAGTTCGACTTACATGCTGGTACAGACTTGGGCTGATTCTCGTTGGACCTTGCGAGGGCATTCAACACAATACCGAGAGACCCACTGGGATTGCTGATGAAGCGCATGGGAATGCAACCCCAAGATGTTGACGTGTGGCTTGCCTCGCTGGGCAAATTACAGAGACGCTTGGCCTTCAAAGGCACTTTGGGGCCCTGTATACCGTCATGTACGGGAATCCCGGAGGGAGATGCATTATCGGTCACTGCCA